TAGTAAATTATACAATAATCGCGTGTCCGAAGCCATAACCCCGAAAAACTTATGCAAGATTCGCGTATCCGAAGCCATAAGCTTGCGTAAATTACACTATATGTGCGACCCCGACGCCGTAAACCGTCGCAAACTACGCGCTACTCGCGTATCCGAAGCCATAAACCTTCGAAATACAACACCGATCTCAACCATATCATCCTAATCTCAATTTGTCTTGCCGATTACTCATCGTCTTCGCGTGGAGTCCCGACGCTGCTTCGCGGCGGCGCCAAGGCCTCATGATTTCGCTCTTGCATTGCTCATTATCCGAGAGAGGGGGCCGGCGGCAGGGGGCGAAACCCTCCGCCAGCCGAACAGCCTTGAAGCACATGAAACCTTCCGCCAGCCTTAGGACAGAAAAAAACACATCCTTCAAGCACATGAGCACCCTCCCCCAGGATACCCAACAACATCCAACAAACACAAAAAACATCAGGGTACCCTCCCCGAGCCGACCTCGATCTTATACCTCGGTCCGACCGTATACAGGAACTCCCGATCAACCGCAGAGCGACCGGCTAGTATGATGATCGAGGGATTGGGAGGAAGGATGCCGAGAAGGGATTCTGCTATGAGGATTCTGCTATCCTGATCTGCCGTGCCATGAGCAAGAGAGCGCGACCGACGACGATGAGGCAGCACCATCCCCCAGGCCTCTCCTGGGCGACATGGGGCTGCATCAGAAAAGGCGGTTGGTGGTCGGGTGTCGCCCGTCCCCCAACCGGTTCAAACGCCCAGAGATCTTCCGAGGATCGCCCCCGGGGCACTGAGACAGAAGACCGAGACATCTGTCGTGGGCGTACCTTGCACACCGACGGCAGAATACCACTCTTGGGAGGCGCGCGAGACGGTGGCCTCTGGCGCGGGCAAGCTCTATCATACCTCCGTCCCCGTCCAGATCGGCCCGAGAAGGCAGAGGGAGGTCAAGTGGCGGCGGTAGAGGTCCCGCAGGCGCCTCCACTCCCCCACTAGGCAGCGGGGGTGGGGGCGCGGGAGACTGGCTCGGAGCCGCTCTGCGCGGTTCCGAACTCTCGGAGGTGTCGACGAGCCCCTGGCCGAGAACCCCGACGTAAGCGGAAAACTCTAACACATCCGAAACGAGTTTGTATCGCTGGATATACGATTCTCGCTGCCAGGCTACGTGCTCGTGCTGCTTGGCTCCTAGCTTGGCGTACTGATCAGCATATTTACTTCCAGCAAGCTGCGCGAGGCCCATGACTTGACGCTGGGCCCGCGTCGCGTGCGCCTTCACTTTCTGAAACCGAATTCCCCTCGGGCCGATGCCACTGTTCTCGGCGATCAGGGCCCAGCAGCGGCTCCACGTCTCAGAAAGCATCGTGCTCGGCCTCTCGGCCCAGGCTGGGCCGCGCGCGAAGCCGTCGAGAATGCTCCGGCAGTCGGTCCAGATGGTGAGCGGCGGGCAGGCCACCTCCAGCACGCGCCGAACTGCCTCCAATTCACTCGGGAAAATCGCCTGCTGCCATTGCGCCCCTGGCCGGGGCCCGTAGCAAGCGAAACGCAGTTTCGCGTCGGGCGTCAGCTGCGCGAGCGCCCAGCCTCCTCGCCGCAGAGCCGCGTAGCTGCCCTGCAGCAGGCTGCCGTCGGACATCGCCCGCGGCGAAGCCGTCGAACTCGCCGTGGACCAGGAGGGTGTCCATCGATGGCAGGTCCCGCAGCCCGAACTCCACCGCGGGGTCGTTGGCCAACCCGCGGCCCCAGAGCTGCTCCGTGCCTGGCCAGGGGTTGGCGCCCCGCTGCACGATGTGGCGCCCCTTCACCTCGCGGCGGTGGGCCTCGCGCGCGGGGCGCTCGAAAGCCCGATGCCGGTCGGTCCCTCGCGCGCCCTGGCAAGCCTGGCAGGTGTCGTTCTCCGCCGCGCCCTTCTGGAAGAGGCGCAGCTGCGGCCAAGTGCCCCCGCGCCGGAGGGCGCGGGCGCGCGTCTGGTGCGCCTGCGCCCAGCGCCCGCGCAGGGGGCGCCTGGGGGGCGCCCGCGCAGGCTCCGCGAACACGGACTGCAGGCCCAGCTTTTCGCCCCACTTCTCCAGCCAGGCGTCCTTGAGGCCCTGCTCGGTGGCCCCCTTGACGCAGCGCCGCGAGGCGTGGAGCGGCGCGACCCGCAAGTCCAGCACCTCCGCCCCGATGGTAATGGAGTGCGCCGCCTGCGCCATCCAGCCCAGCCTGCGCGCCGTCGCCACGAAAGCCCCGGCGGGCCCTCGTACAAGCTGCCAGGGGGACTTGGCGCGCCCCACTCGCAGCGCCCACTTCTGCCATGCCGCCTGCAGCTCGGGGATGAGCTCTGGCTGGCGATAAGTCTCCCGCCACGCCTGCGCCCAGGCCAGAATCGGCGCCGAGTTGACCGGCGCGCCTGGGTCCACGTCGTCCGCCAGCAGGGCGAGGAACGTAGATCTGCCCTTGGTGTTGTCCTGAAGCGAAGCCGCGACCGACTGCCGCACCTCGCCGAGTTCGGTATCTGCCATGCCCATGACCTGCGCGCCGTAGAGGAGCGAAGGGACCTTGGCCTGGCGCGCGATCTTGGCGGCTGGCCCGCCTGCGCGCCTGACGCGCGCGATGCGGTCCCGCCGTGCTGCAAACTTGAGCGCCCTCTTGCTGAAAGCGCCCGCCCGCCGACGTCGCCCCGCGGCCGTGGCGACGCCAGGTGCTTCTCCCCCTTGGCCATGCGCCTTGGTGAGCTCGTCCTGCAGCGGGGTGGTCGAGGCCAGCGTGACCGTCTTCCCCTGCTCGCCCTTGGAGACCACCATGTCCAGGGTAACCTCGAACATGTAGATCAGCGCCTGCACGAGGTGCGGATGCCAGTGCCGCGCGAACTCCCGGAGCCCCTTCGTCGCCGCCGCCAGGTCGTCGAAGAAGAGGCATGTGTCGGCCCGCGGGAAAGCTGCCACCACCTTGTCCAGCTCCATGAAGATGACCAGCTTGAGGCAGAAGGGGGCGAAGCGGCTGCCCGCCACGATGCCCCTGCCCCATCGCCTGCCCACGGTGTAGCTGCCGTCCAGTACGATCCTTCGCACCGTCGCGTAGATCCTCAGGACGACCTTCAGCACGACGCGGTTGAAGCCCCAGTGGAGCCCCGCATGCCACACCATGGCGTGCGTCACGTACTCGAAGCACTTGACCAAGTCGAAGTACGCGACCGCGTACTCGAGGTCCTGAGCCACGGTGGCCTCGCAGAACAGCGCCTGCACCCACGCGGCCCTCTCGCTGGAGCGACCTTTGGCAGCCCAATCATAAGCTCGCCGCTGCGCCTGCTCCCACTGCCTGGCGTACGGCATGCGGATGGTCTCCCATAGCCGCGCGAGCTCAGGCAGCAGCCCGAGGTTCCGGAAGCCACCAGCCGGCTTGGCGAGGAGGTAGAAGAGGATGGTGGCCTGGGCGGTCGGCCAGGGGGGCCCCGCCTCCACCGCGTTGAGCACGCTTGCCACGCGCGCTGCTCCTTGGTGCCCGCCGTGTTGCCAGAGCCGCGGGTGCCAGTCCGACTCCCCGAGGCCCGTCTTGGGGCGGAAACGCCCGCAACTCTCGATCACCTGCTGCGGGGTAATGGGCGGCGGGCGGTACTCCGCGAGCTCGACCTCGGAGGGGGCCTGCATCCACGGCGCCTGCTCGTCCAGCTCGTCGCCCCAGATCGCCTCCCAGCCCGCCAGGGCGCTGTCCGCCGCCGCCTGAGGTTGCACCAGCTCATGGTCATCCGTGGCGGTGGTGGCTGCTGTGGCTTGCGGCTGCCACGGCACTGGCGGCTTCGTCCATCTGTGAAGGGCGCCTGCGCCCTTCTGCCCATGGGTGCGCACCCATTGCCTCCAGCTCGCCGCCGAGGCCCGCTGCGCCGCCCGCCAGCTGCGCCTGCTAGGGTCGCTACGCAGTCGATGTAGTGCATCTCCTTCTCGTCCATCGCGTCGACGTCGAGACCGCCGACGGTGTTGACCAGCTCGGGCCACCGCAGGGTGTCCCACGTCAGCAGCTGGCCCTCGGGCGGCCCCGGCGGCGGCCCCGGGGCCTGCGCGGGAGTGTGTCCGCAAACTGCAAGTGCGGACGCACTCCCGCCCGCGCGCGGCGGCCCTGGGCGCCCTCCCGGGCGCTGTTCCCGCGGCGCCGGCAGCGGCCCCGGCGGCCCCGGGCGCCCCGCTCCAGCCGCCACCGGTGACGTGCCGGCGTCCTCAGCATGCGCCTCCGCGTCGCTCTCAGACACCAGCTGCTGCTCCTCGCCCTCCTCCTGCCGCTCTGCCTGCGCCTGCATCAGCGGCATGATGATGCTGTGGCCCAGGAGGGACTGCGAGACTCGCACGGCCTCGTCCTTCACCTCGCGCTTGCCACCAGCCCACCACAATCTGACCAGCTTGTGGATACGCCTCAGCTTGTACGCCAGCCACTCGGCGCCCTCGGCCCAGGCCTGCTGCTTGGAGACCTCCTTCGGCGCCTGCGCCTCGATGAAGGTCCACCTGTACTTGGCAGCGTTGAAGTGCCCCTGCCTGCTGCTGAGGTCCTCCCCGTCGTAATTGAAGTAGCGGTTGAGGTGCAGCTCGTAGGCCACGCCCAGCTCGCTCCAGTGCGCGTCCATCACAGACTGCGCGTGCCGCCCGTGCCTCACCAGCGGCCTCGGCCACGCCACTGGCGGCCCTGGGCATGCCGAGAAGGGAACACGAGGAGGAGGAGGAGGAGGAGGAGGAGGAGGACGACCCTCGAGGGGTACGTAAGGAAGGGGCATTGGAAAGGACGGAGGCAAAACGAACGAGAATGAGAGGGGAAAGGCGGGGAGGACGGAATCGGGGATGAAGGGAACGGACGACGAGGGGGAGGAAGACGAGAAGGGAGGACGAGGAGACGGGAGGCCTGACGCTGCGAGCTTCGCCCCCACGGCATGCCAAAGAGACAGGGCGGAGTGCGGGAGGGAGAGCGGGAGGCAGGACGAGGACGACAAGGGCGACGGGGGGCAGAAGCGGTGGGAGCAGCTCCATTGTCCAGAGGTGCTGCTTCTCGGAGGCGCGGTTGCCCAGCAGGGCGCGGACAGCCATGGCGATCCCCGTCGCCAGGAAGAAACACGGCACCAAAAAACAAAACGAGAAATCCAGGGACAACCTCCGCTGGAGGACCTCGAGGGCGTGTGAAAAGCGTGGCGCAGGGACTGACCGTCCCGGCATTCCTATAGGCCTACCACGACATGTTCTTCGAACCCAGAACTGTTCCAATGACAAAAACAATGTTCTTCGAACGTGAGCCCGACGTTAAAACAAGACGGTCTCAGCCAGAAATCATCTGAGAACATTTCGTGCAAACCACACAAGAAGGTCCTTAAAACATTCTTTGGTGGGCCTACATGCGGCGAACCAAGACGCGTCGCCACTGCTCGAAAGCGACGGCCACCAGGCCGGCCAGGCGAGGCCCGAAGGCCAAGCCCCGACCACGAGCCGGCCAAACCTGCCATCAAGAAAGAAGGCCCCGAGGGAAACGGGTCCTGGATCACGAGGCCTTCATTCTCTCCCCCCCCTATCGAGGGCAGAGCATCCACCCCCCACGGTGAGCACCCCGACAAGCGAAGCCGTTGAGTCAACGCAACCAGAGAAGGAAGCGAACAGGGCAGGGCTGTTTAGTAAACGCCCAGGGCCACTTAGCAAACGCCAATTATCAGGGTGTGTGTGTGTTTCTCCCTTGACAACAACATCGTCTCTTCATCCTGACTTGGATTTTGGTCCCAGAGGAGGCCCCGAGAGCCCGAAAACGGCGAAGACGTCAGGACCCGTTTCCCTCAGATTCAAGGCCTGGTTGCTTCATGGCGCTTGAACGACCCTGTTCGGCGACATGATCCACGGTCTGGTCGAAGCCGGCACGCGATCTGGCACGGATCGGCTGAACCGAACTGCCAGACCGCCTCCTATTCCTCCTCTCTCTTCCTCCTCCTCGTCCTCCTCCTCCTCCTTCTCCTCCTCCTCCTGGCCCTCCTGGCCCTCCTGGCCCTCCTCCTCCTCCTCCTGCTCCTCCTCCTCCTCCTGCTCCTCCTCCTCCTCTCCACTCTTACAGGGTGGGAAGATGCGAGACTAGATTGGGTCACGACGGCGCCAGGGTAGAGGAACGAAAAGTGCTCTGCTCTAAACATAAACTTTTGGCGCTCCGCGCGGATTTCTTGGACCTGCGCTTCCCTGGCGCGCGGAGCGCGCCAGGGGCGGCACCAGAGGCGCCGCGGGGGGGGCCGAGCGCGGATCCGAGAAATCCGCGCGGAGCGCCGACAATTTATATTTATGGCGTGTTTTTCCCCTTCGAAAGGGGGCGTCAGGCCGACGCTCGCCGGAAAGCTAGACAAGCGAGCGAGCGCGTCGGCTATTCCTGTCCTGTGCTCGATGGCCCCCCCCTGCGCCCGACGCTGCGTCCTGGAGGGGACGGGAGAGGAGGGACAAGGAAGGAGAGAAGGACTCGGTCCACGATGGAAAGAAGGGAGGAGAGGGGAGAGAGGGGAGGAGACGGGAAGGGGAGAGAAGGGGGGAGAGGGGAGAGAAGGGAGGAGAGGAAAGAGGGAAGGGAGAAGGAAGGAGAAGGGAGAGTCCGCCGTGGTTCTTTCAAAGCCCTCGCGGGCTTTGAAAGTACCACGACGGACTCTTGGACTTATTTTCGGCTTCTGGGGCCCTCACAAAGCCCAGGGACCGTTAACATGACTACGCAACACGGAAAACTGGTCCCCGTGAAGTGGTCGAGAGTACTTGGGGCCTACTTTGTGAACAAATCACGTCTGCGGGGGTCTGGGAATAAGAGGGCAAGAAAAGAAGGTCGAAAGAGGGGGTAAGGAGGACGGGGAGGAGGAGGGGGAGGAGGAAGAGGAGGAGGATGTAATGATATTCGATCTTTTTTCACGCTGCTCGAGACAGATGCGTAGACCATGTTGAAACATCGTAGAGCGCATCATCGTGTCAAGACGCTAAGCTTCTGTAAGTCAGGCGGAAACGGCCCCCGTAGCCGTCAAGCATGGGACTCTAGGCCCCCGAGGTGGTGACGCACACAGCCAAGTTCGTATGGAACGGCCATCTCGGGAGACCACTTGTACGCCCCCTGGAAATTGCGATGCAAGCTTCCGCGCGGAGACTCTGTGAAGTCGGACAGAACAGATATTGGATCGTCGGCGCTCGACAATGGAAACAGTGGCGTGTCAATCGACTCCACGAAGCGAACTGGATTTTCACCAGCGTGGTACGCTTCTCGCCCAGACGGATAACCAGCGAAAGACGTTACTGCGTCCACGAAGGCGTCAGGGCTCAGTGCCTGCAGGGCTAGATCAACTGCTTGAGAATCGCATGCACGAAGCACAGACTCATTTTGTTTAACAAACTGGGACTTCATAGTGTGTCGCTGGAGAACACGTCGCGTTGCACGAGGCAACCGCCAGGAGCAATGTCCAAACAAGGGAGAAGTGCGGCTGCAGCGACGAGTGCGGCGCGGTAAAGTCACCAGCACGCCTACGAGCATCGAACTCGGCAAGCGCCGATACACTGAGTGCTGATCCAGCAGAAGTGCCAAAGAGAAACAATGGAGCGTCAAGAAACATGCGCCTGATTTGTGCAATGCCGTCCTCCAGATCAACGGCATCGCCAAACATGTTGAACCGCGCGGACTCAAGAGGTCGCCATTGGCCACGGCATTCCATTATCACGCACCGGTGTCCATGGCTTGCTGCATACCTAATGGTATGCTGGTGGGGGATATCGGATGCATTGCTCGCGAGGCCAAGGAGCATAATCACTAGTGGTGCACTTGGCGATCCTACAGCCGCCGGTGGCCACAACTCCAATCGCAGCGCCTCTACCATTGTGCGCGGCGAGCTCGGATTCTCTTTGTCAACCATGTCAGCGACGCGGTACTCGTGTGCTTCCAACGGTAATGACAATAGATAGTGCAGATGATTCTGCACCATCCATATGCCGAGTTGCATCAGCGAACGCGCTGCCCAGATCGGTGGCCTTGGCCCACGATGCATGCTTTCGATTTCTGCCATGCGGTGCACGATGAACGACGTTCCGAGCACTAGACGAGGACGGCCGCACATCTTGACGTAGCTCCGAATGTACCAGAGCAGAAGAGCTGAATATAACCCCAATGGGCCAACCAATGCCAAACACCCCGTCGCTATATAACTGCAAAAGGTCAACGCACCAATACGCAAACCCGTGACCACGGGATAAGCGAGTAATTCGCGGCCTCACTTGCGGAGCTCCATGAACCCTGAGACGACCTCGACTGCGCTTCCTGACAGATGGGAACAACAAACAGCACACCATAAGCATGTCTGAGCCGAGTGCCCTTGAGCAAAAATGGCTACTGAGGAGGAGGAGGAGGAAGAGGAAGAGCAGTGTGATGATGAGGGCGGATTGGGGGATTGAGGCTCCCTCGTCCTCTTCCTCCTCCTCCACTCCGCCCTGCTCTCCCTCTCCCTCTTCCCCCCTCCTCCCACTAGGCAAGAACAAATCTCCGAGACGGCTCCAAGACGGCTCCAAATCTCCAAGAGGGTCCTGCCCCAATGCTCCCCGAATGGTCTTGTCAACGTCTGGGGGGACACGCAACCCACCCGCGTGGCCGCACTCTCGCTTGACGTGGCGGTGAATCGCCGAAGACGTCTTCGATAACACGCCTGCAAAAACAACGTATTCAAATACGGCGTGCCCGCTTTGCGCCGTTTTCCGTGCACATTCTGGCCGCGACCTCCTCCCCGCTCTCCTCGGCGTCGTTCTATCTGCAGAGCCATGGTCGCAACCTGCTCCAGGGCAGTCATGCAAGACACGTGTTGCGATTGCCGGTGACGGCGAGATGTCCACGCTAGGCTAGGCCAGGCTGTGTCCAGCTCAGCTCATGCCAATTGAGTCCATGGGTAATCTCTATCCATGTACGCATGCATCGGCACACGCTCGCATATGTTTCACACGTGCAAACATGCATTCACATATTTTTTTATCGTACACTCACTTCTGTGGTCATTTAGCTCAGGCGGCATAAACTCACCTGCCTCCCTGGGCCAAAATCACAGGACAAGAAGCGCGCGCCTCGGAGAGATAAACGATCTTGGGACCCAGCTCAAAACCACATTTTACATCTCCCGCAGCGTGTGCCTACTGAGGCCACCCACCCTTCAGACCTGGACCCAGAATCAGACAGCCCACCCAGAAGGACAGGGCGGGGGAATCATGCTGACCACGAACTTGGCACCGTGTCGTTGCTGCTTAGAACCAGCCAGCCTTCAGGGTGGACAGCAGATGGGAGCCGAAAGAGGCTACACGAGAACAGATGGCGTTGAAAAGGGATGGTGACAAACTACGCTCACAGATGAACAATTGCACGTGCACATGTTATCAACATAGGCTTGCCTATATCCGCCGGCCCCCTTGTAGGGCCACCAGGCTGTAGGACCGTGATTCGCAGTTTCCTGTACCAGTTGTAGCTTGTAGTTTCCAGTGTTACAATTCTGCTTCTTGCTGGTTACTGTAACTAGTTGATTGACCGCGCGAGGGGGGGGGAGGCCCAAACGGGATTTTTAGCACCCCCTGGGCGCGTTGTCTGAATTGCTGGGGGGGCTCGAAATCGACACCCCTCACGCAGATCCGCGGGGTCAGGGTCTAAAAACACATGGGATTTGCCACATTTCTTTCTGAAATTCGGTGCCACCCCTCACGCAGATCCGCGGGGTCAGGGTCCAAAAACACATGGGATTTGCCACATTTCTGAAATTCGGTGCCACCCCTCACGCAGATCCGCGGGGTCAGGGTCCAAAAACACATGGGATTTGCCACATTTCTGAAATTCGGTGCCACCCCTCACGCAGATCCGCGGGGTCAGGGTCCAAAAACACATGGGATTTGCCACATTTCTGAAATTCGGTGCCACCCCTCACGCAGATCCGCGGGGTCAGGGTCCAAAAACACAATGGGATTTGCCACATTTCTGAAATTCGGTGCCACCCCTCACGCAGATCCGCGGGGTCAGGGTCCAAAAACATAAGGGATTTGCCACATTTCTGAAATTCGGTGCCACCCCTCACGCAGATCCGCGGGGTCAGGGTCCAAAAACACATGGGATTTGCCACATTTCTGAAATTCGGTGCCACCCCTCACGCAGATCCGCGGGGTCAGGGTCCAAAAACACATGGGATTTGCACATTTCTGAAATTCGGTGCCACCCCTCACGCAGATCCGCG